TTGTATTGTATTGTATTTTATTGTATTGTATTGTATTGGACACAGGGTGATGAAGACCATATGTTTTTCAAGCCACGGACACGCCATATACATGCCGTCTCCGAATGAAATTCAAAAACTTACTCTATCAGCTGACGTCTGGTAAGGTCTTTGATTTTGATTTTTTGTTTTTATTATTCTTATTATTTGTAGTTGTACTAGTAGTAGTATTAGTAGCAGCAGCAGCAGTAGTAGTAGTAGTATAGTAGTAGTAGTAGTAGTAGTAGTAGTAGTAGTAGTAGTAGTAGTAGTAGTAGTAGTAGTAGTAGTATAGTAGTAGTAGTAGTAGTAAAAGTAGTTGTAGAAGTAGTAGTAGTAGCAAAAGCAGCAGTATTTGCAGTAGCAGGTAGTAGCAGCTGTAATGGTAGCAGTAGTAGCAGCTGTTATAGCAGCAGCAGCAGTAGCAGCACTGGCAATTTTACCGTCATAATTTTTTAAAAATATGGAAATGAAAAATGACCATTCAAATAGTGAAAGTCTTAAAGAGAACGCTGGAGACCTCTTCCTACCATGCAATATCCCTGAAGCACCGAAGCAGAGTTTTTTAAAAAATCTTTTTGGCACGCCTCCACAGTAACAGTCGACAGGGAAGAATTATGTTGGTGTTATAATTATTTTTATTATAGTTATAACTATGATAAAATAATTTCAAGTACTTAGATATATCATCATACTTGCAGTTAGACAAGAGTTGAAGCATTCACACTACAGTGTGACTACACCATAATACCGCCACACACACACACACACACACACACACACACACACACACACACACACATACATATTTTCATGCACATGCACACGCAAGCACCAAATCATACACCCACACATGTACCTATACATGATAGTCTATAAGTTTCTGACAGAGAATTTGAACCATGCCATAGTGAGCTAACCTGCCGGCCTACAAAATTAATCAATTTTTTATTATTAATTAATTTATTAATTAATTCCTAAATAAAATATAGTTGGTGAGAGTAGTGGAAAGCCCTCGAAGGGCATGGCAAAATACACTCCGGGTCCGGCAGGTTTAGCCCAAGAAGCCGCCACGCAAGCCACATCTGAAATCGGCCGAGCAAAAATGGTTGGAGAAATATTAAATTATTGAAAATGAATTGTTGAATTTGTTTTTTAAATAATCTATACCCTCTCTCTCTCTCTCTCTCTCTATCTTTCTCTCTCTCTCTCTCTCTTTCTCTCTCTTTCTCTCTGGGTTTGACAGAGTTTGATTTTTAACAAGAAACTGAGACAAAACATCAAACTATCTTTTTCAGGCGGCCATAGAACGAGGAGAGAAACTCGGAGAATTGGAAGAGAGGACGGAAAGAATGAAGATGGAGGCGGAAATGTTTTCGCAGTCCGCCCATCAACTCAAAATGAAATACAAAGAGAAAAAGTGGTATCAATTTTAGGGATCTCTCTCTCACACACACACACAAACTTTCTTTTTTTCATTTTCTCTCATTCTCTCTCTCTCTCTTTCTCTTTCTCTCTCTCTTTATCTTTAGTCTCTATTTTTTTTACTTTGTTCTCTCTATCTCTCCCATTCTCATTTCCTCTTTTCTTTTTTTATCTCGCTATTTTTCTCTCGTTCCATTTTTCCCTTATCTTATTTTTACCTCTCTCTCTCTCTCCTTCTCTCTCTTCCCCTCTCTCTCTTTTTCCTCCCCTCTCTCTCTCTCTTTCTTCTTTTTCTCACTCTGTCTATCTCTCTCCAACGACAGAAAGAGTAATATCTTTGCAATGTTAATGTGCACAATACTTCGAGCTAAGAGAAAAGTCATAGGATTGGATGAACGATTGTATAAAACGATTGTAAAAGTATATATATATAAATTATAATTGTTGTTTTTATTATTATTTTTATTATTATTATTACAAACTTGTGTCAATTAACTCGAATAATAACGATAACAATTTTCATTGTTGTTGTTACAATTATTATTATTATTTTTATTATTATTATTATTATTATTATTATTGTTGCTATTTTTTTCACCGTACGTTAGTTCGATTTTGTTTTCAGTGAATCTGTTGTTGTTGTTGTTGTTGTAATAATAATAATAATAATAAAATAATAACAACAATAATAAAAATTATTATAATAACAATAATAATAATGTAATCGAGATGATATATAGATAATTTTTGAAAAGGGGAGTTTTACGTTACTGCTACTGTTTGCATGGTTGCTTGTATTTATATATGTAGATTTGTATATGTATATATATATTAGTATGTGCGTGTATATATATATATATATATATATATATATATGTGTGTGTGTGTGTGTGTATGTGTGTGTATGTGGTGTGTGTGTGTGTAAGTATAGATGATTATTAACTTAACCAATACTGCAAATATAGATTTATATAGAAGTACAATTACTATATATACTGCTGTTTTTAGTATTAATACTATAAATATATATTTATATTTATATATATATATAATTGTTTATTTATTTGTTGATTTCATAAAGTTCTAGTTAAATCGCATGGGATGGTACTACATTTCCAATCGTTAACCGTCGGGAATCTATTTTTGAAGAAATTTACTTATTATTTTAAATAATAAATAACAAGAACAATAATTATAATTATTAATATTAATTTTATTATTATTATATATATTGACATACATATATATATATATATATAGAGAGAGAGAGAGGTACAGTGACTTTATTCACTTGAATAGTAAATATTACATGAAATTTACCCAAGCAAACAATTACTATTTTTTTCATTAATGTTACTGTCATTATTATTATTATTATTACTATTATTATTATTATTACTATTATTATTATTATTACTATTATTATTATTATTAACAAATTTGTCGTAGCAAGGTGTTTCTCTTAAGTTAAGATGCTCAAAAAATGTTATAAAATAAATAGAAATGGCTTTTACACCGAACTTTAAAATTATCCACTCACTCATTCATTCAATCATTCATTCATTCATTCATTCATTCATTCATTCATTCATTCATTCATTCATTCATTCATTCATTAGTTCATTCATTCATTCGTTTACTCACGCATTCATTCATTCACTCATTCATTCATTATAATGTGTTACTTCATGTTACTTCAATAAAATTGTTATCCGACTTGAACTAAGAATACAAATCGTGAGAATTTCAAATAAACAAACATAACATGAAATCGCACGCGCACACACGCACACACACACACACACACATATAAATATATACACGCATATATACGTGTAATGTAAAAAAATTTTGGAAAAATTTCACAAATTTTTGAAAAGTACGTGTTTGTTTCGTAGTTGGATGTTTCTTCTCTTTTCAAAAGATATGAATTTTGATTGAATGATTCATTCATTCATTCATCCAATAATATATTCATTCATTCTTTAACTCATTCGTTCATTCATTCACTCGTTCGTTTGTTCGTTCATTATAACCAAGTGACACTATATTGGAGACACACACACATACTTCTATGTGTATTAATGTGTATTTATGTGTGGTTTTGTCATATGTACATGCACACGTATACAGTAAAAACTTGTAAAAATATATATTCATATATGTATAAAAATGCGCGCGCGCGCACACACACATACACACAAACAAACACACAAACAAACACACACAAACAAACACACAATCATACATTTACATTTATAAATAGATACATACACATACATACTGGCAATGTAAATACATAGATATGAATGAATGATAAGGTATTTGTGATGATCTTCGAAAATACCCAAAACCAATTTAATTTTCAATACTTTTCTTATGTAGTATATATATATATATCTTCAATTGTAATTAGTAACAGTGATCCATTACGACATGATATTATATATATATGATATTATATATATATATATATATATGATATTATATATATATATATTATATTTTTCAGGCATATATATGTAACAAACAGTTTATTTTTATTAATATTATTGATGGTATGTCTTCATTAATATAATTAGACGCATTAATATAAATTATATATTATAACAATTATAATAAATTAATATAAATTATATATCATAACATATAACAATTATAATTATAATTGCTTGTAGTAAATCTTATGAAGTACTATTATTACTGCCTGCAACCAATACTTCCAATACTATATACTTCTGTAGCTGCTATTGCTACTACCAATACTACTACTACTCCAAATTTTGTTACTACCACCACCACCACTACTACTACTGCAGCTACTGCCAGTACTACTACTACTACTACTGCTACTTCTACTACCACTGCTACCTCTACTACCACTGCTACTACTACTGCTACTACCACTACTACTACTACCACGACCGAATTGAAGACAAGGTAGGTTTTCGGGGTTCTTGGTTCTTTTGGTCTTCCGAAAGGCGAAAATGTGACTTTAACGTAAATTCGCCCATTAAGCCAGAAAAAAATGTTTGCCAACTTTTCTTTATAAGCTACTTGCTATTAAAATTAAAGAGATTTAGAGGGCCTTCACAAGCAAATTAACACCCCCACCAGACAAATATGGATCTTTACTTTTGCCTTTGTGATAACGGCAGTTACTACTACTACTGTGGCCAGTACCACAAATAATAATAACTTGCAGCTCTGCTGTTCTCTAAATTGGTTTTATCATCACTGCTTCTAATACAACCACTACTACTGTTGCTACTATTACTATTACTACTGCTGCTGTCGCTGCTACTACTACAGCTGCTGATACTAATAAAGATAATGATATTAGTAGTAGTAGCAATAACAATAATAATAATAATAATAATCGTAGTGCCAAAAGACGTTTTACTGCAGACATATTTCTTTCTATCTTATGTAATAAGTTCAAAATTATATATATATATATATATATATATATATTACAATACTGTGTATCTATATGTATGTGTGAACATTATATATATTATATATATATACATGTATTTGTGTATATACTTCTTTTTTTTTTATTTCCAAATAATTTTTTTATAGATATAGAATCGTGTATAAATGATTAGGTAAATCGAACGTGCAAGACGATTTTACTATTAGGCTTATTCATATATATATATATATGTGTGTGTGTGTGTGTCTGTGCACATTTCCTAACAATATCTAGCATATATGAAATTTAAGATGTTGATCGTATTGTAATTAGATTTTTGTTTAACGAGCAGCTTTCTTAGTACACTTAACGTACACTTAAACGCACAGACACACACAGACACCTATACAGACACACACACACACTTAGTTATGAACGTACACACACACATACACTGTGACTTTCCTAAATAGCTGTACATCTGAGTCTGAATCCTAAATATATATATATATATATATATATATATATATATATATATATATATATATATATATATATATATATATATATAACACATCAACATATTACCATAAAAAACGTAGTTATCATGAAAACAATCTCTTAAACTTGTATCTTAACTCCATTAACCCGGGTTCGACGCCACACTTCACCTCCTTTTCTCTTTATAATTAGATCCGATTTAGAAAATCCCCGCGACGATTAACTAGAAACTGTTGTAATTTTATTACAAGTGACAAAAGTATTTTACATTACTAATACTATACTTATATTTAATATAAATAAGTTCATTTTAACAAATACAAGGTAAAGCAATAACATTCGCGATTACATTAAGAGAGTCATAGACACCTACAACTTATTCGCTACTATAACCTACTATAATGGTAGGATTGAGAATAACTTCGATTTTGGATAATAAATTAGTATTTTAGTAAAAGTTAAACAAGTAAAAATTACTTTGGTATTTATATTATATATATATATATATATATATATATATATATATATATATATATATATATGTACAACGTGAGAATAATTTTTTTATGTTCTACCATTTTTCCACAAAAAAAAACGAATTTTATTTGAAAAAGTTTGGAAACATCATCTTCATCATCATCTTCATCATTATCGTCACAATTGAAATCATCTCATCCCATCCTCCTTATCATCATCATCATCATCATCATTGTCAGACATTCATCGTAATAAACACCATTAACAGGCTCATCATCATCAACCTCTTGCATCGTCATTAATCATCATCATCATCGTCATCATCATTAATCATCATCATTAATCATCATCATTAATCATCATCATCGTCGTCGTCAGTAATCATCATCATCATCGTTATTAATCATCATCATCTTCGTCTTTAATCATTACTACCATCGTGGTCCTCCTCAGACAGCTTCTGTGTCAGCGGCAGCAGCGTCATTGTCCTCATCATTGTAGATGTTTTCGGCCTGATGGTGATGATGATGACGATGATGGTGATAAAGTGATGATGATGGTTGAGAGATAATGATGGTTGAGAGATGATGATGATGGTTGAGAGATGATGATGACGGTTGAGAGATGATGATAATGATTAACAACGATGATGCTGATAACGATGTTAAAATGGTTATAGCGTAGATGACAATTTTAACCCCAAAATTCACTTCCAACTTATTTCACAACTCTGTACACCCATCAAAAAAAAACCCAATATCAAAAGTTTTCCCCCTTAATCCCCCTCCAATTTCCACCCTCTGGATTCACCCACTACCCACCATCTGCCAGACTTGCATGATGTTATCTTCAGACACGGAACAAATGACCCAGGGTTCATTGTGGTTCCACGAGAAATCTGATATCTTTGCCGTGTGGCCACCATGAATGAACTGCAAGGGCGTCGGTGTAATAATACCATAATTATAATAATTAGCTCATATCGATAAATAAATTATGATAATGTAAGTAGCTTAGCTATAAATAGCCTACCAATAATTCTGGTGGACCGTCTTCTGCATCTTCAGCCGATTGGTCCTCTCCTATCTTGCTGTTAATTAATAAATTAAGAGGCATTTGTTAATTACAAAAATATTGAAATAATTAATAATATTTATTATATTAATAATTATTAATAATTATTAATAAAATTATTATTAAATATACTTAATATTTTTACCTGAGATCCCAAACGTGAAGTCTCCTGTCGGTGCCACTGGACGCCAGAATTGTTTCATTGTGTGGAGACCATTGTACCTTATGAATAATAATGAGGCAATTGTACCTTATGAATATTAACGAGGCAATTGTACCTTATGAATATCAATGAGATAATTTCACCACAACGGGTGTTATCATCATAACCACAACCATCATCACAATCATCGTCAACATCATCGTCACCTGGAAGATTTCATCCTTGTGCGATTCGAACGAGTGAAGCTTCAATTTCAAATTCCTCAAGTCCCACAATGCAACGGTCTGTTTAGGGGGAGAAGCATGACTTGATGATTGACAGATTGATTGACAGATTGATTGACAGATTGATTGACAGATTGATTGACTAAGTGATATAATCGTCATCGCCAAAGTCATCATCATTATCATTATCAACTATCTCACTGATCATCTCACATGGTTCGTTGATGAGAATAAATTCAGAATAAAAATTTAATGGTGAACAGTAAATTCGCCATCATCACAGCCATCGAAATGGTCACCATCAACATCGGGATAATAACCATTATCGCCCCATCACCATCTTCACTCCACTTCACTCACCTTATCAGCAGATCCAGTGGCCAGGATGAATTCAGAGTAGGGATTGAATGAGAGGCAGTTGATTTCAGCAGTGTGGGCGTCCACAATGTGGCTCGGCTTGTTTGTGTTGTTGCTACGTGTATCCCAACTGATGATGATGGTGACAATGATGATGGTGGCGATGATGATAGTGATAATGGCGACGACGACGATGATGATGATGGTGTTGGTTTTATCAGAGGTTCACACATTAAAACACACGCACATTCATCATCCTTTTTAGAATCATTGTGGTCAGTATCAGCCTTTACCCTCATCACCGTCATCATCACCATCATCATCATCATCATCATCTCTACTCATATGATCATTACTATTACTGAAGCCGTCGTCAGGAGCATAACCATCATCACCATCCAACATCACTTCGACTCACATCATCAGCTTCTGGTCGTCAGATACAGATCCAAATATAGACTCGTGCAGTAAGTGCCAGGACACATCCTAATGAGTGAGTAAATGAATGAATGAATGAACGAATGAGTGAATGAATGAACGAATGAATGAGTGAATGAATGAGTGAACAAATGAATGAATGATAGAGTAATGAATTAAAAAAGAAATTAAAATGAAAGGATGATTGATTGAAAAGATGGATGGTCGAATGGATGGATAGATAGACAGATAGCTAAAATGAACGAACGGAAGAATGGATGAATAAAAATTAAAAATGGATGAACAGATGAATGAAAAATGAATGAATGAAAAAAATCCAGTTAACCACCTCCACAACTGATGTATGACCCATGAAGATGCTCAAGGCATTGACAACCCTACCTTCTCGAGGGGTGGAGTTTATATCCCATAAGCAAATTGTCTGATTGGTCGGTTGGTTGTGATTGATTGGTCGGTTGGTTGATTTGTTGAGTCGATTGATTGATTGGTTGATTGATTGACTGAATAATTAATTAGCAGCGTAAATGATTGATTAATTAATGATGGATTTAATGAATGGTTGACTGATTGACAGAGTTGGAATGGCTGAATGAGTGTAGATTGACAGGTAAACTTGCTAACTAATTGATTCCTTGATTGTATGATTGAATGATAAGTTAAAAAAGAATAACATACACAATTTTAATTAATTAATAATGAAGTTAACGTGAATAATTTGCATACATGATCATCTGAAGCACTGAGGAGGTATCCATTCGTATTAGGATTCCATGACAAGCCATAACTAATTGTGAATATTAATGAGACAGTGCATGAATTCATGAATATTAATGAAATAGTATAAAAAAAACTAGACAAAAGGCATATGTTAATGAGGTGCAACTTATTAATATTAATGAGATAGCGTAAAATGTTTGTTACCCTTCCTTCTGGTGTCCTTTCAGCCTTAAATCTGGATGGCATTCACCGCTTGGATCTGTAAATGAATGAATGAATGAATGAATGAATGAATGAATAAACAAATGAATGAACTAATGATTCAATCAATCAACCAACAAACGTACCAACCAACCAACCAGCCAATCAACCAACCAGGTTTAGACGGATGTTTAGTGTAATCAAAGACGAGCACGTCGCTGGATGGGGTCTTTGTGGCAATGATGCAGGGGTTCTGGGGCATGTAGCGAGCCCTGTTTACTTCACCCTCATGGTTTATTTTGATGTCGATCTCTATCTTGCCGGTCACTGATCCAAAACCTCCAAACTCTGGTTAGTGGAATGATTGATGGATGAGTTGATAGATCATTATCACCACCACCAGCAATCATCATCATCAGCAGCCGCAACGGCATCTCATACCATCACCACCACTACCACCAATCGTCGTCATCATCATTATCATCACCTCCTTTCTCGGTTTCATGATGGCTGACGTCAAATTGAGCGTTGTCATTGGGAATCTGCACACTGGCTATCAAGAGATGGTTTTGCTCATCTGATCTGTTTTTATTCATTCATTTATTCATTCAATTTTTCATTCATTCATTCACATGTTTATTAACCCATTCATTATTCATTCATTCATTCACATGTTTATTAATCCATTCATCATCCATTCATTCATTCATTCTCATTCGGTAAATTCTCAGCAGTGGCAATAAATGTAAAAAAAAACTTACAAGGATATGAAATAAAAAGTGAATTTACAAAGATATGAAAAAAAATTAAGATTAAAAGTAAACTTACGTATGGGTGCCAAGGATCAACCTATGAAGTGAATAATCCTTACCTTCTGGTCTATCAGAAACAAAAAAATTTTAGTTTTTCACTAAATATGAAAAATATTAACAATAAATAATTAACTATTTTAATCTGTAAAATATAAATAAATGATAGTCTTCTTAATAATTAAATTAACTTTTAACACCTAGCTACAATCAAGGAGCAAATGAATTATGCCTAATCAAACATCAATAATGACTTTCAATTATAATCAACCAACCAACCAACCAACCAAACAACCAGCCAAACTAATTTAAAAATACTTCTCAAAAGATAAATATTCCAAATAAATTTAAAATTAATAACAATAATTTAGATTCACTTATAACATTGATTTAAATTTAAGTACCTGGCAACATCAGGAAGCCACTGGGCCGTCAGGCTAGGCCACTCAAGGGCGTGGGTCATGACGAGGTCATACAGGAAGGGAGTGTTCTTCTTCCATATTTTGTACTCTTCATTTATAATTCGCTCCTCTACCGCATCGTCAAAAGCTTTAATTTTAAAAAAATTATTTTTAAGATTCAGTTCATTAATTTTTTAATTTATTAATAATTAATGATTATTTTATTAATTTACTTACTAAATATAATATATATAAATTTAATATATTATATATAATACATAAACATGTTTGTCTGGTTGGGATGAGTTTTTGTGATGTATCTCTTGAAGGATAATTGAATTTGAAAAAACATAGCATCATTTTAATTAATTCAAGTCAATTAAATTAAGCAATTAAATAAGGAAAATGAAATTTGATCCACACAAAACACAAATACACACACACATAAACAGACGGTGCTGGAAGTTTGATTCGAAATTTGAATGAATTAAAAATATTTGACCGTACGCAAATCATTAAAATTTATTGAAAAAAAGCAAAATACCGGATCTTTGTCGGCCATTTTCCTAATAATCGTATTTTGAGATTTAGAAACAAAGTTTTTGTGTTCCTTAGCGCCGCGGTCTTTTCTTACATTTCCGTTTAAATGTGAACTCAACTTTAATAAAGTATAATCAACAGCGCCTAACAGTAAATTAAGACAAGTTCAGGTTAGCATGTTAAATAGCCCCTTTTTATCATTAAACTGCAATTTTTATATTTAAATAATATTCACTTTAAAACTTAAATAAAAACTGTAGTACATTAAATATGTATTTAAATGATTATTTTATATTATATTGGTTGCCAATTAGGTTGTCAACATGATTGAAATCTATTTATGAAGATTTACACATGTTTATATACATGCATTATAAATATATAATAAATAAATAAATATATATATATATATAGTATAATATATATATATATATATATATATATATATATATATATATATATATATTATGGACTCAACACAGCGTAGTTTTTGACATTCATATTTATTGTGAAATTGG